CAGGAAAAGCACCTGCTGATGCAATTGCAGACTCTACTGTAATTTCCATTTCGAAAGATGTTGTGGATGTGATCTCTGCACCGAAAGTTGTTACGAACGCTGACGTAATTAAAAAAGGAAAAACACCTGCGGCTGCAGTTACGGACTCTACTGTGATTTCCGTTTCAAAGGATGTTGTAGATACCGCCGCGATTAAAACAGGAAAAGCACCTGCTGATGCAATTGCAGACTCTACTGTAATTTCCATTTCGAAAGATGTTGTGGATGTTGTCGCGATTGAAAGGGAAAAAGCACTTGCTGATGCAATTACGGATTTTCCTGTGATCTCTGTTCCGAATGATGTTGCGGATGTTACTGCAACTCCAATTGCTGTTGATACTGTTGCAGTTAAACAAGGAAAAGCACATGCGAGTGCAATTGCAAACTCTGCTGCAATTTCCATCGTAAAAGTTGCAGAGAATGTTCCTGCAGTTAAAGAAAAAGAACTTGCTAGTGCAGCTGTAGACTCTACTGCAATCTCTGTTGCGAAAATTGCTGTAAATGCTGCCGCAATTGAAACAAGAAAAGCACCTGCTAATTACGGAGCATTAGGCGACAGAACAGATATAGGCGCAGATGTGGATGCGCTTGTAAATGCATATGCGAGAACTACAATTCCAATAATAGCGACCGATAACGAAGTAATTAACGACGAGCAAACCTACATTGGTAGAAAGGATCAAATCCAATTTTTAACTAAGGGTAAATATAACTTGAAAAATTGTGCCAATATTGTAAAAATCTTTATCCCTTTTTCCTAAGTTCTGTATAAATATTTCTGAGAAACCGAGTGAGATGATTATCTAATTTTATTTATTAAATCATGAGATTATTGAATAATGTATATAGATAAAAAAATATGGAATTTCTTTTCCATAGACGTCAAGGCAGATGTTGCTGCAATAGCGAAAACGAAAGGACACGCGATAAAGGACAATGGAGAAAGGGCTTTCAAGAAAGCGTTCTCCGAGTCGAGCAAATCGAAGCGCGGAAGAAACACGGCGACAATCGGTATCACAGAAAGAGGGAAGACAATTCTTCCTCCTCCGTCACCTCCTTTTTCGCGTCTGCAAACGTATCCTTTGTGCTGTCAATTGCAACCGCATCTAACTTGTTTCACCGATTGCTTCGACGTTTCATCCTGTTATTGTTATTGGACAGCTTGTCCTCTTCTATTCTTTTACAGTGCATAAATGAGTTCACGGAGCCTCGTCATTTACGGCAACAAGTTAATATCTAGTGTTGGTTAGATAGTTGGCAAAATAAATGTTGTTCGATTCTGTTTTGGGTTCTTATGATTCAACTTTCATATAAACCATGACTTGGTTTTTATCATTCAATATTACGTTTTCTCATTTCTTTTGTTTTTTGCTCCTCTTTTACAAAAAAATTCCATTAGTTTTCCTTTCAGGCCCATTCGATTAACAAGCTGATGGATTTTGATGACTGTTAATGATGTTTGTATATTTCTCAGTTTAGATCTTTTGTCTACATTCTCGAAATCGTACGGATAATAGAGGAAAGTCCTCTATTATGAGGTAAGTTTCTAATATCAGATAGCAGATTTTCAACACCCAAATTCAATCACAAGTCTTTTTTCGCAACAAATACGCAATTTAACAATAAATTTTCTACTAAATAGATTTCGCTCTAAGAACAATAAATTCATGGTGGAATCAACTGATGATGTCTATTAATTTAACAGAAATCTCGCTATCCCATATTAGGATCCTATCTCATAATAAGGGACTTTCCTCTATCAAAACTGCCAAGCGTAGATGCATACTGAGGTATATGCAGTGTTGTGTATAGATGATTTTAAAATTAGCTAGATAAAGATAAGATAAAAATATATAAATGTATCTCAGATAAGATAAAGATGATTTCGTTTTGAATATATCTAGATAAAAGATAAAATTATATGATGATTCATCTAGATAATTTTCAGATAATATTTTTAAGATTTCATGTAAACACAGTAGAAAAAGTTATTAAAAAATTATAGAAAAATTTAAATTATAAGGGGGGATATAGAACATATTCAGGTTAAGTTATATGACACACACATAAATGCATGCATGGTCTACACGCCATCCATATTTAAATAGTGTAACTGTTAAGTATTTTTATGTGGCCCTAAACCAAATTATCTGTACGTTATCTTAGATAATTTAGTAAAAATAACACTTTCTTTTATCTAAGATGCAGATATAGATAATACTTATTTTTATTATCTATATAAAGATAAAATAACGCTAAAATTTTATCTAGATAATCATCTATATAATTTTATTTAGATAACAGCAAACACTGGGTATATGGTAATATCTGTTGCCCGAAACAGTCTAATGATGACATTTCCATGTTTATTTTTCGATATTGAAGTGCGCGCCGATCTGTGTTGTAGGCCACGGGGTTATCGTAGTTCAACGTAAAAAAATAGCTCCGAAAATTTCATCATTAGACTGATTATTGTGACAAATATTACCATATACCTCAGTGGTCGAATTGGTGAGATATCTAGAGTGTAGAAAGGTCCAAGTTCGAATCCTGGATGAGGTAATATTTTTCACAATCAATTTTCTCTAATTAGAATTGCCAACATCGTCTCTTTCTACATTGGTAATTATTTATGTTATACAATAACTATTTATGAAGTGAAAGTTTGCGCAACTTTATTACTGTTTATTACGTTTTTCGAAAGCATGCGAACACCTACGTTTATCATTAAACATCATTAAATTCATGAAACGTAAGCAGTGCATGCTGAAGATGCTTTAGATACTGGAAATAATGAGGTGACTAGGCGCAATAACATAAATTTTATGTGGCAAAGAATTTATCGATTTGAATAGATAGATAATACCTATCGTTTTTACATCGTTCACATTCCATTCAAATTTTATCTCTTTTTCAATAAAATAGCAAAAATGTGTGAGTTAAAATATTAAAAAATGGGGATTAAATGCCAAAATAATTTCTCGATAAGGATTCTATACTCTGTCCCAAGGAGAAATGTAAGATCGGATAGACATCTATCAGACGTCGGAGCAGTCTAGTCTAAAATAATGTCTAGAAATATTTAAATTAGATGCAATGTGATTTTGTGTTATTTGTGTTTTTTCATACATAATGTACACAATGTGGTGAATTATTAATGAAAAATTCTTTTTAAACTGCAAGTTACTTCTCGACATCTAATAGACATCTAATAGACCTATAGATAAACTTCTATTGACGCAGTGAGTAATAAAATGATCGAATCGATGTCTTTTGATGCATTTAACATCAATTTGATGTCGATTTGAATGAAAATGATAGATTTTGATGTTAAATGCGCATAAGCGCTATAAAACAAATTAACGGAGGTAATTTACACAGCTATACGCTAATTTACACATTTATTATATGATATATTATAATTTTTTGAACGTATCGATTGGCTGCAAAATAGAAATATTAATTCTTGATCTTC